TGTCCTGGGCCTTCTTTTCTACTTCCATCCAATTCTTGTTCATTTTTCTCATGTCTATTTCCATTTCCCGGCGTAATGTGTTCTTTGGTCTTCCTCTCCTCCTTTGGCCTTGAGGATTCCATGTGAGGGTTTGTCTTGCGACGCTGTTGGGTGCATTCTTCAATGTGTGTCCTATCCACTCCCATCGCTTATTCCAGATTTCTTCCTCCGCTGGAATCTGGTTTGTTCTCTCCTACAGTAGGTTGTTGCTAATAGTGTCCAGCCAACGGATCTGAAGTATTTTGCGTAAACAACTGTTGATAAACACCTGTATCTTCTGGATGATTGCTTTCGTAGTTCTCCAGGTTTCCGCCCCACACAGTAGAACTGTCTTGACATTTGTATTGAAAATCCTGACCTTGTTGTTGGTTGACAGTTGTTTTGAGTTCCACATGTTGTTCAATAGTAAATATGCTACTCTTGCTTTACCGATCCGCGCCTTCACATCTGCATCAGATCCACCCTGTTCATCAATGATGCTGCCCAGATATGTAAAGGTTTTTACATCTTCCAAATCTTCTCCGTTACGTGTAATTGGATTGGTACATGCTGTGTTGTATCGGAGAATCTTGCTTTTCCCCTTGTGTATGTTGCGACTTTCTAGGGCTGCTGCTATACTGGTTGTCTCCTCCTGCATTTGTTGTTGCATGTGCGATAGAAGAGGCAGATCATCTGTGAAGTCTAGATCGTTCAGCTGCATCCTAAATGTCCACTGTATCTCGTGCTTCCCTTCAGATGTTGACATCTTCGTGATCCAGTCGATCACCAGGAGAAAAAGGTAGGGTAAGCAACCTTGCCTGACACCGGCTTTTATTTCGAACGAGTCTATAAGCTGTCCTCTATGCACGATCTTGCAGTTTAATCCATCATAGGAATTCTGTATAATATTGACTATCTTTTCAGGCACGCCGTGGTGTCGAAGAAGCTTCCATAGTGTTGTCCTATTCACGCTATCAAAAAGCTTTCTCGTAGTCAATGAAGTTGATGTAGAGTGATGAATTCCATTCAACTGATTGTTCCACAATGATCCGTAGAGTTGCGATTTGGGAACATTAAATTAGTCTTCATAAAATACCTAACGAAAATGTTATCTTCCTTTTAATTTTATAGATTTTTAATTTATTTAATGAGGAATATAAACTTAAAAAAAGTTTAAATTCATATGCATCATATATGGTAATGGTATTTGTGTTTCACGTGTTCAAACAAATGGGGTCTTATTAGGTTATTTAAAAGTATTTCGATGTTCAATTTAGTTTATCGTCAAATAATAAGATGCTGAATATGAAAAAATGTCATCTTCACGATCAAGTGTTCATTTGTTTTTTTTTCATCAACGGAATTACACTTGTCACTGATAAAAATAGCAAATTTTAGAGTCAATACAATTATTTGAAATGTCTCCTTTACGTTTAATTCGCATCGAATTATTCGAGAAAATACTATAATCAGACCAACTAAATTATGATTATAATAGTTGAGTTCATAAGTCAATTGAAGTTAGACCATCTTGGTAAACCTAGAAGCACTGGACGGCCGTCCATGATGGTCTAGCTTCAATTGACGCATGAATTCAACTATTAAAATTACTAAAATCTCCACAAATCCCCCTTCTGATAGTAAATTATGATTAGTTGGTAGAATTATCATTTGATCTAATCAAATCAATCGCCTTTGGACCAAGGTGGAGTAATGGATGATATGAAAGCGACTGTTAATATTTTCTTCTATTTGTATCTATGACCCACAAATTCTTTATTATTGAGCTGGTAGTTTTGACAATATATCCTGTGTCATTTAAATCGTTTTCTTTCTGTCACGCAAAACAGTATTATATCAGACAACTAATCACTTAACAAATATTCTCAAGATTAGATGAAACTAACATAATCGAACAACTCTAATATCTTGCACAACGATATGTCGTGTACACCATTAACTATCATGAACGAAGAAATTGTAAACTGATCACGAGAAAATAGTGTATATAGAGGGTCAAAAATACGAATACCAAAATATGGTAGCAAACTTATTGAAGAATAATGTATAAAACCAGTTATTGATATAAAAAAAAATAAATACACGGGTATAATCCGGACATTACTTGTTAACTAGTGGGTGTGTTCACTTGATCCATAATCAAAGCACATAATTAGTAATCCCAAAATATAGCATTTATTTCAAGTTTTTATACCACATATAATTCAGTAATGAAAAATGTGTAACCTGTAGACATGGATGACAATCATATTAGTGATCTGTTCATATGGGAGCTGACTGAATAAGAACAAAAATTGATGTGAGCAGCGGTGTACTTTGAGAACAACAAGATACAGAATAAAAGTTTGTTCATAAATGAAATAACCCAATTTTCGTTTCAGTGACAGTGAACGCTTTACCTCAAGGCGGTTATTACGTATTTGAAGTGCATCAGGTCGGAGATATATTTGTTAGCTGGCTTAATTTGGTAGTATTTGCCCCTTTAAGAGTTCTGTATAATTTATGAAACACCAAATGACAAACAATCACGTGTATCGTGCGTTTTTGTTTTGAAATGTTTAATTGCCGACTTTTGGCTAGCATTAACTGAGTTCGTATAATTCATCTTTTTTTAACTTCCCTGATTTGCTCTCCATTTATTCAATAGTAACACTGCATCAGGCATTTCTGAGAGTATTTCGAAAGACTTAACCGATACTTTTTGCCAGACAACCCTATCTCAAAGGTTCTTGACATAGGATAAATTCGAAAATGCCTTAAAAGTTTTTCAACTTGCAGGAAAAGCATAATTATGAGAAGTTAAGATAACATGTACTCACTGCGTCTACATACAAAGTATAGAGATCCCTATTGTGCGGCGTAAATACGCACTTCTTTCCCCCAAGTGAACGTTGGTTGTAAAGAGAAAATCCAAGAAATTGGTACCATTATTAAACCGTATGGTTCTCAAATTAATTGTAACAGCGCAGGTCTACGTTTTATAGCTGTTAGTTCATGGTTCAAGTGGCCTTACGTAGTGGAGAGTCTTTTAAGGTGGTTCAAAACCATCCGCGTATAGGAAGCTATATGGTATATGATCTACGTTATATATTATCCTACGACCTCATGGTGTGTGTGAACTGCAAAAGTTAAAGGTCAAACTTAAACAATAATTGATTGTCAGCATCACTCATTGCACAAATTAAATGAAATTATGAATTGTGAATAATAACAAGAATTATTTACAAGATAAGTCTATCTTAACCACCTATAAGGATGAAGTATGTGAGAGCTAGATTACTGAAGTGGCTGTCAAAATGTTTGAAGAAGCAAGACATTTACATGGTAAGTTACTGAGCGTGAAGTAGACGCTTGACTACTTAACTACACTTAGTTAACTTCATCAAAAATAGTGAGATTAAGTTGAAGTGTTTAACACTAATTGAGCTGTCAATTTCCTGCAAAAATAGGTTATATGACAAAAAGATAAATTTTAAATATGCATATCACTACGTACTGTACGAAAATAGGAGTAAGTCGGATAGAAGAATAAACTAATGACATAAAGAAAATAGTTTTTAAAAGCAAAGATAGATATTGGCTAGCAGTGGGATCCAGGACGCGCGTTTCTTCCTATTTGGGGCTCGTCAGCTGGACGTACCTCCATTCCAGAGTTGATGTTTGCCCTGGGACTCGAACTCAGTACCATTCGCTTCTAATGCCATCACGTTATCCACTCAGCTAATGAGTCCTGATAGCCACTTGGTTGTACGATGGGGTGAATTTAAATGCACTTGGTATTGTTTTGCTTGTATCTTCCCAATGAGGTTTAAGACTGCAGTTGATCAGTATGTTATTGGTATATGTGCATCCTGTGATTATGCCTCGACATTGCCTGGGTGAGAGTCCCAGAGTGAACAACAGCTCTGAGATTCAGGTACATTCAGCTGACGAGTCCCAAATAGGGCGAAACACGCGTCCTGGATTCTACTGCTAGCCACTATCCATTTTGTCTGGATCAAAGATTGTATGAAATATACGTATTCGAAATTCATTCTCGTTATTTGACTTATTTAATTGCGTTATTGACTAATTCGATTTAAGTCGATGATTACGTACTAGGATAGGCTATATATATATATATATATATATTTCAATAACAATCAATCATACGATTTACTTGGAGTCAGATCCCGGGCCATTAAAAGACATTCAGGTTTACAATGATGGTTTAACATTGATTCATTCATGATCTCAATTTAAAAAAATTGACATTCTCCACAACCCCTATACTATTACATTTTTTATTTTTAATCATATTACTCTTTTAGAAAAAAATTGATGAGCAGTTATCAAGACTAAATGTGAAATTCATTTATTTGATTCTATAATCCTTTATTATTATTATTATTATTATTATTATTATTATTATTATTATTATTATTACTATACTATACTATTTTATCCATTCGAAAATTCAATTCAATCAATGAGTAGTAATCATTTATATTCTCAAAGAGAAATATATTGATCGATTGTATATAATATTGATCAATGAAGGATAAAATTTGTTCAGTTTAAAAAAAAATTTTTTTTTGGTATTATAAACTAAAATTTACATACAATAAACTAATTGAATGAATTATCGATTTATTTGAATATATAATATGAACTATTTATTATGATTAAATATTTTTTTTTAAAAAAAATAAGTGGAATGTATTTGATTGGATAAATTGTGAAGGAAGGAAAGTTTATTGATTTTTGGAGCACATATATATATATGTATGTATATTTGCATCTGTAATATCCATATATAGTTTGAAAGAACTTTTGAGCATCATCGTCATCATCATCTTCACCATTATTATACACACACCAGTAAACAAAACAAACTCAATCATGTTATTTTTATAATTTCAATTATATTTCATTTATTCAAAAAAAATAAAAGGAACTATAATAATTAATAACCAAAAGAAATGTCAAATAATACTACAATTACAGATTATAGTAATTTGGTTGGTAGTTTTCGTGCATATATATGTCCAATAATTGCAATTATCGGTGTTATAGGAAATAGTTTTATTATAATCATTTTTTTAAAAGAAAAACAATTATCAAGATTTTCAATTTATTCAATCTTTTTAGCTATTGCTAATATTATTACATTAATTATGAATACATTTATTGATGATTTTCTTGGACGTGGTTTATATTATGCAACAAATCATCAATTCTATTTTAAATTAGATACAATTTCAACATTTTGGTGTAAAAGTGTTGAATATATATCGAATACAATGTACTTTACATCATCTTATTTAATTGTGATTTTTTCAATTGATCGTCTATTAACTATTCATAAACCAATTAAATTCTATTCTATATATCATAAACATTGGGCTATGATTGCATGCATTCTTGTATATTTAATGGGAATACTTAGTAATTCACCATTGTTATTTGTACAAACTTTAATGGTTGATAAATCGAGTCGAACAAATTTTACTTGTAGAATGATTTCTGAACATCCAGTAGCAAAATTCACTATAACATTTGAAACAATCGTCACATTCACAATACCATTTTGTCTTGTATTATTTTTAAATATTTTCATTTGTATTGAATTATGGAAATTGAAAGTTAATCGAACAGCTTTATTACCAGCTGACTCTTCACGGAATTGTATGGAAATGGGACGAGTTTCTGGACATTTAGCTTTGAGTACTGCATTCTTATTATTGTATTTACCGATGGTATGTTTTGTATTAATACGACTGAGTCTAACTTTATCACATGTGGATAGGCATAAACCGTACGCAATGTGTATTATTGATTTGTCCAGACTTTTCTCATCTGTTAAAGATATTACTTATGCAGTGAATTTCTTCCTGTATTTAATATTTTTGCGAAATTTTAGACATGGATTTCGACGTTCAATCTGTACATTATCTTGTAAAAAGATGTCACCAAGACCATTGGATAGACCAGAGAACTGAAGGTTGAATATACTTTAAAGTACTTTTTGACTAGTTAACAGATTCGTATTTGTTTGGTTTATTTTTCTTTGGGGGGGATTTAAACGTTATTATGCCAAAAAATATAGCTTGTTAACGTATTCGTATAACATTGATCTTTTTTGTCAAACACTATTTTCTCGATTAAATAGTTATGTTGGTGAACTGGATTGACCAGAACTAAGTTAGGCGGATACAGTTCAATCGCTCCATTATCTTTGTTAACTAATAATATTAGTAGTTAAATTATTTAATTTAAATAGATAAAGATCTCTATACAAAATTATTTAAATAAGGTTTTTTGTCCATCAGTTTATTCGACAAATTTAAATTTAAAAAGCATAGGACTAAAACTTGCTTCTAATGAAGTTTTAGTAAATTGGAGCTGTTTGACCATAAATAAGACAAAAAACGTGATCGATACGAGTTTTTATCTATTCTGGTCCTTAGATTCTGATGTAAAAAATTCAGTAGAAAAGAACTTCAAATGAAGGATGACAACAGCAGTTGAGTAGGTTTGTAACAACATAGTTTTCAATATATAACAATGATGAATAAGTCGATTTATTCATTTATAAAAACCCGTAGAGTAAACCTACATATCTCAATAAAGCGACTGTCTCTTTTTATAATGATACATTGGAGTAATATATACACTTTAGAACCAACCATGCAAGTTATATTTTTTTTAGTAATTATGTATATATTTTTCTAGTTTAGCTATTTCTAAGAAAAATACAAAAGTTTATCATAACAAATCCAGTAAAAACATTGACTGTGTGTCAATAAACTTATTTAAAGATTGTCATGACGACAACTTGAGGAAACGTTTCTGTCTTTTCATGGAATATCGAGTTACTTTACGATAAGACGTCCCTCCAGTATATGGGAAGATTTTCTTGTGCTAAACACATGAGTATTCTACTTCAAACTATGCATTCATTGAGAAAATCCAAGTTACTACTCGATAGGTTATAATCATGTGGAAGATCTAGCAACGACGGCGGAAAAGGCTGCAAGAGAAGGAAACATGAGACAACTGTATGACATAACAACGAAACTCTCTGGAAATCGCCGCAAACCAGAACGACCAGTGAAAAGCAAGGAGGGCGAGGTAATCACTAACATTGAAGAGCAACGAAACGGGTGGGTAGAACATTTCAAAGGACTCTTGAATCGACCAGCCCCACTGAACCCACCCAACATCGAAGCAGCACCCAAGGACCTCCCAATCAATGTTGGCCCACCAACAACTGAAAAAATCAGCATGGCCATCAGACAAATCAAGAGTGGCAAAGCAGCAGGACCAGACAACATTCCAGCAGAGACACTAAAAGCAGACGTAGCGGCAACTGCAAGGATACTCCACATTCTCTTTAATAAGATTTGGGATGACGAACAAGTACCAACAGACTGGAAAGAAGGACTTCTGATCAAAATACCGAAGAAAGGCGATCACAGCAACTGTGATAACTACAGGGGCATCATTCTTCTCTCAATACCAGGAAAAGTCTTCAACAGGGTATTGTTAAACAGGATGAAGGACTGCGTAGACGCCCAACTTCGTGACCAACAGGCAGGATTCCGTAAGGATAGATCATGTACAGACCAAATCGCAACACTACGGATCATTGTGGAACAATCAATTGAATGGAATTCATCACTCTACATCAACTTCATTGACTACGAAAAAGCATTTGACGGCGTGGACAGGACAACACTATGGAAGCTTCTTCGACACCACGGCGTGCCTCAGAAGATAGTCAATATCATACAGAATTCATATGATGGATTAAACTGCAAAATCGTGCATGGAGGACAGTTGACAAAGTCGTTCGAAATAAAGACTGGTGTCAGGCAAGCTTGTTTACCCTACCTTTTCTCTTTCTCCTGGTGACCGACTGGCTCATGAAGACGTCAACATCTGAAGGGAAACACGGGATACAATAGACATCTAGGATGCAATTGGACGATCTAGACTTCGCAGATGATCTGACCCTTCTATCCCAAACGCAACAACAAATGCAGGAGAAGACGACCAGTGTAAGAGCAGCCTCAGCAGCAATGGGTCTCAATTTACACAAAGGGAAGAGCAAGGTTCTCCGATACAACACAGCATGCATCAATCAAATCAGAATTGACGGAGAAGATTTGGAAGATGTAAAAACCTTTACATATCTGGGCAGCATCATTGATGAACATGGTGGATCTGATGCAGATGCGAAGGCGTGGATCGGCAAAGCAAGAGCAGCATATTTACAACTGAGGAACATCTGGAACTCAAAGCAACTGTCAACCAACACCAAGGTCAGGATTTTCAATACAAATGTCAAGACAGTTCTACTGTGTGGGGCGGAAACCTGGAGAACTACGAAAGCAATCATTCAGAAAATACAGGTGTTTATTAACAGTTGTCTACGCAAAATACTTCAGATCCGTTGGCCGGACACTATTAGCAACAACGTACTGTGGGAGAGAGCAAACCATATCCCAGCGGAGGAAGAAATCAGGAAGAAGCGCTGGAAGTGGATAGGACACACATTGAGGATAGCACCCAACTGCGTCGCAAGACAAGCCCTCACATGAAATCCTCAAGGCCAAAGGAGGAGAGGAAGACCAATGAACACATTAGGCCGGGAAACGGAAATAGACATGAGAAAAATGAACAAGAATTGGATGGAACTAGGAAAGAAGGCCCAGGACAGAGCGGGTTGGAGAATGCTGGTCGGCGGCCTATGCTCCATTAGGAGTAACAGGCGTAAGTAAGGTTATAATCACACAGGAATAATCAGGAGACTCTGTAAAGCATACGTTTAGTAGACAAATATTGCCTTTTCGAAAATCATTAGTTTAGTATTAGAAAGGCATTGATATTAAACGTCTACTTTTATGAGGCCAATCATATAAATGTTGGACCATCTTTGTCTATGTATCATAATTACTCCTAGATATGTATGTCACTCAGGATGTTACGAAATAGTTCACAATATTTTTTGGTTCTTTGTCAAGCATGAACTTTATTTAACTACTGATTACTGTTGTTTAAAATCTACGTAATGTATGGGTGGCAGTGAAATCAAGAAAGTGTGTTTCGTCCAATTTGGACGAATGTACCTGTCTGCCAATGGTGATTTTAACAACCAAACTCGAAACCAATACTTTTCATTTCAAATGCCAATGTGGTATCCACTTGGTTCAGAAAACCACTAATTTTTTCAATAAGTACGGATGAATACATAAGGCTTGTAATTTCTTGTTGCTGATATCCGGGACCGCAAATGACCGGTCTCTGTTGTCATGTGAGTCCTGAAATGCAGGCACATCCAGCTGACAAGTGCTAAATAAGATAAAATATGTATTCTTGATTTAACTGCAAAACACCGAGAAAAAACTTGTGACTAGGTTTTATCGAGGAAATGGCAGTAGAAACTGGTCAACTGTAATACTGACTTCCAACAAAGAGATGTCACAAGACCTATTAATTTGATGACTTTGGTTACATCAAATGTTCTGATGACAACCGACTTAATCTGCATTTTATCGCACGGCAATCACACCCTGCTATGAATGCTAAGATGTGAATATTAATGCTTCGTTATAAATAACTAATAAGCCTCAACATTTTATGGTCACTTCATTTGTCTATGAATTTTAATGAGTAGCTATTTCTTAACAATATCTCATCTGATAGCTCCACTTCATCTTCTGTAGCATGGTTGACTCTATTAAATGAATCTTCTGACGATCCCCATTTGTATTAAACTTTGTGTAAGCATGACAAATGAAATGCTATCCTATCCATAAAATGATCACGTGGATATACTTATAAGCTGAAGAGACCGTTTGTTCAGACGGCCTGACCATAGCTATAGAAAGACAACAGTGAAATATCTCAGTTGTATTTTGTTCATGCTGAACAGGTCCACGTCAACGTTTGGAAGAAATAGGACAAATAACATGAAGGTGTAGTAGTATCGATCTTACTAATAAACATGATTCACGTGTTAGATCATGTATCAGTGTAAACATACCCCCCACGTTCTATTTAGTGAAATCCTTGACATTACAATAAATGATTCTTTTGAATGAAACAAAACCGACTGAGTTAGTTTGGCATAGTTTTTTGACTAAATGTTCTACTAGGTACAATCTCGTTGAAGCGAAGTCGAATTTGTGTTTGCCCATCTTATAAACACCTGCTCGCTTTAGTTCGAGAAAAACTCACTATCACATTAAAAAAATCTCCATCACGACAAAAATCATGTTTCACGTTACATTTGGATTACAATTACGGGGAAATTATGAGATTATCTGGTGAACAGTAAACATTCTCATGTCATATTTAATATTTGATAGTTTACCTCTTTTTTCAGATCAGTGACATAAATCGCACACAAGAAATGTAACTGGTTATTAGAGATCGATTTTATTAGAAATATGATGAAACATCTATACAAAGAAAATTATACATAATATATCTCATATAATTCATGTGATAGTCTGAACATGCACAAGACCAGTTCGTACAAAAAATGGTTGTCTATGTAACGCATCAGGTGTGGACGATCTCGATTGAGCATTATTGAAAAAATTCGATAATTTACAAGTACCCTTTGAATGTTCGCGTTTTCGTGCAAGTTTTTTAGCTTGAATTACTTCTTCATGTGTTTCATCATCTTCCCTATTGTTTTTTTAAAAAGGTCAGAAAATAAACATTTAAAATTTTAATAAAAAAAATAACACAACGAGAAAATCAGGAAAATTTCATTTCTACAAAGCCTGTTACTTTAGAAATACGTTGAAACATTTAGACGAACAGTCATATTAAGATTTTTATCATAGAAATCTATTGAGGCTTTTTATTGACATGTATCCCAATTTCGATAATCGAAACAAATACTATTCTCGTGTAGCCCGAAAGTTTTGGATGGTGAATAGTTTAAAAAACAGGACAAAAGGTATGTCTAAGGGCCCTTAGTTTTTAATGGTTGTTTTTCAAAGACTTAATTTTCTCCTGGAATTTTATTGCGAACCATACGCCCAAAAACAAGGACCAGTGACTGGAGATGTTGGGTAACACGCCTTGGAGTTAATGTTTCTTTGCTGAGTCCTGAGTTGCAATGTTTAATCAATAAATTTATCCCCAGTTTTTTTAAAACCATACTCACCAATATTTAGTCTTTCTTACTATGCCATGATAATTTCAAATCTTACTCTATTCACCTAGGTAGTTTTATCCCACCGTAACGATATCATATGACAACTTGGGCTGGCGAACATTTTGATCATGACTGACAGAGAAATGAATCATCAAAAGAGTAGACTAACCTACGAGATGGTTACATTTATTTTTGGTTTATAAAATTATCATCCTATAAAATGTAATTGATTTACAATAACATTTTATTATATGAAAGATAAATATGTACCAATTACAGCATTAGTGTTTAAAGACGAAGAATTAAGATTGGATTTCAAACTGGACGTTACACATTTTTAATATTCCATATATCTAACGGAATTGTGTATAGTCAACACTTTAAAAAACGATAAACTTTGGAAATCAGTCATTTTATGCTTTTACATTATTAAACAGGTCTTGGAGTTAGCAGAGTGACATTATGTACAACGATTTTTGTTTCAAAATAACTTAAGCAAACAAATTTATGTATATAGCAATTAATGATGATGATATGATGAATGAAAAAAACTCTCAGTTGAGGAAAAAATCAAAATAGCGTTAAAAATTGGTGCGAGGAATTAGGATTATGAGTCAGAGTTGTAAGCTAGAGTTCAGTATTGAAGTTAAAGTTGTCATTACGAACTGACGCCAACGATAATGCCAAAATGTTATTTAGCCACACGGATGAATGTATTTCGTGCACAGATACACGACTAGCCACCTTAATCTGATTGGTTTGCCATAAATTATGGTCCAGCCAGTGAATTAATTTTAAATTTGAAGCCTAAATATATTGAATATTACTGTCTCAAAATATTACAAGTGGACAGATGTCTTAGCTGGGGTTAACTTCGATGAAATCAACTTCTAGTCAGCAATTGATCACAGATAATGTGATATTTACTGCTTTCTAGAGTGTTTAAAACCTCTGAAATTATTTTATTTGGAAGATGAAGGCATATACACTTAGATAGTATAGAGAGAAACTTACCACCTAACTGATACACCATGTTGGTCTAATAGAGAAGATGCAGTTGACCAACTAGATCGCACAAGAGACGGGAAACCAAAAACTGGATCCATACATGCACGTAAATAACTTTTGGTGACGGGATCTTCGTAAAAATTTTGAAAAAAGGTCACATGAATTTTAGAACAGTAGCAACAAAGCTATTAAATCAAAATACAAATACTTTGAACTAAGAAGGCCTTTTTCGTTCCTCTTGTTCCGTATGTGTACGTCCCCATTTCCCAATAATGATATATCATGGCGAAGTACTTTTAATAGTCGCCCCATAAAACAGTTTGGAAAAAGTTTAGACTCTTGGTTAGTAGATGAAATATGAACTTACCATATTTAGCATAAAGGAAGGTGTTCATAAAGCTATTGGTTCCAATAACTGTCAGTTACTATTATTGTGTAGGAAAAATGGAACCGGGAAATAAAGGATGAAGTTTTTAGCCGCGAAAGGAATGGAAGAGAGCATTTAACCGATAGATAGCCAAAGTTATTGTTTTTGGATTTAAAGTTGGAGGCTCAGTGGATTGGATGCGTTTCTCCCCTTCTAAATGCAAGTTGTTGCTTCAGGACTGGCTTGCGTCAATACCTGAACTAAGGATAGAGAGTGAGATAGTGGAACGTGTCGACAACTTCACTTATCTTGAAAGCCTGACCAGCCCTAAAGGGTTGGTGTCTGACGAAATATCTGCACGGATTCAGAAAGCTCGTTTGGTTTTTGCCGACTTACGTCACCTATGGCGAAGGCGAGGTATCCACTCTGGGATTTCCCCCGACAATTTCACCTAACTATGTTAATGGGGTGTGGCGGCTTGAACCAGTGTACATAAATACCAGGTTTCATGTTGCGTTTAACTAACTGACTGAGTATCACATCTTAATCTTCTAATTAGTTGAGGTATTATAATTGATTGATCGATCAATTTCCTATTTCTTGTGTGAACACTGTATATCTACACTTTCATAAATTTCAACATTACAATCAAAGATAAATGGGTTTTACGGGATCCAACGAATCAAGTTGCAATAATAGGTGATCCACAAACAATTAGAAAACTTGTGAATATTTCCGACAAAAATAAGTTCACCTAGCTTCACATGGGATACTTAATTGCATTACTTTGAAACCAATAATCTTCCTTTTAAAGTTTATGGTAGTAAGGAAACTGTACTACTGTCGATTAATTGTTGGCCCGAAATAATAAATAAGCTTAAGATTTAGAGAAAACACAACTGCATGTCAATATTGAAGTTACTTCTAAACCATGTCGAACAAGATCCGAGTTATCCAACAGTTCACTAGCCATGTTATAGCGGCTTAAATGACTTAACAAAAAAGTCAGATAATCAAACATACAGTCTAATGACGCGACCAATGTTTAAATTTTAACTGAAAAGATTTCGAAAACAAGCAATCATAGTTCAGCTAGACCGAAAGCGATTATATACAATGGACCTCAAGGTATAGTTTAATAAGTCGAAATATTAAATCCTGATAAGTTATTTTTAGTCAGTTAATGAACAAACAAGAAATGAAGATCATAAGATGATAACATACGTCCATTGCAACAAATATAACAATCAATTAAAATAATTATAATTGACTATATGTATTCTTACTTGATAGTGAGTAAAATTTAAATATAACAAATCCGATCTTTAATATATAACATAAAAGATGAAAACTTACCACCTGGATAGCCAGAACCAAGACCAGTGCCTTCGGGTACACTTCCACGTTCTTCTTTAGGCCACATTTGAAGAACTCGATCCCGAGTAACCTGAATTTATTGAAAAATTATCTAGACTGAGGAAAAGCGCCTTTTTACTTCTAAACCAAATAAATAAGTAATTCGAGCAGTAGTAAATGAAAGTCAGATTTATAATATACAGAAGTGCAGTCATATTTAAGCATAGGGTAACACTATAGAAACAGGTGTTTATTATCATATACGTGTTCAACATGTCTCCGATTATAAGTTCCTGGTATGCAAAGAACTTGAGTGAGCAGACTTTCAATATCTGTAAGTGATGTTAAGATATGATATGAGGTCTCAAATTTTAATGGAAGGATTGATTGTTGTTCATTTGTTGATTCATTCAAGCATTACTAAAATGAAATGAGTAGATAAATAATTGAATATTTATAGCCTGGTACAGACAGTCTCGGAGTGTAATAAAAAATATAAAATAATAAAGCTTGCGAGTCAAATTTAAATCAGAGTTGTATAGATAGATGTGGTATTTGTACGAACTAATGATTCTTTTGTATTTGATCACCCGGCTAATTTAGAATTCCAAAGACAATACGTTCATTCATCTAATTCTGTTTTGTCTAAATTACACTGTTCCGAGAGTTCCCAGTTAGTACAATAATTCGAATACCTTTAATTATCATAATTGGGTAAAATAATTTGACTTTTAATTTAATTAGAGAATGACACATTTATACGCAAACTACTAATATTACAAAGGTTTTACATAATGGATAGGATCAAAAAATAATTCATAAGAAACCAAAGTTGAAATGAATTCGTTCATATACAAGCACACATAGAACAATGAAAATATTGTTATTTCAAAAAATCAATAAACTTACTTTTGCAAAGATACTAGCAGCACTCACAATTGGATAAATATCATCAGCTTTGCTTTCAACACATATTTTTAATTGAGGAAAAAGATTTTGTAGTTTAGTTTGATAATGTTCAGCTTTGCCAACAGTATCAACGTAAACCTGATTGATTGAAATACATATACATATGAACAACATAAAGCAATAGATTAATCAAGGAAAAACATGATTCTCTATCAGTAACTGTCTCTGCAAAGATTTGAAGTAACAGAAAATTTGACAATCCCTTTCGGACGTTGCGAGAGCTTATCCTTATTTTCTAATAACATAGTAACGCCTACGTAGAAGAAAAGTATATTGATTAAACAAATACACCAAGTATATTATACTGAATACTGAAGAGATTTTACAAGTTTAAATAAGAAAGATTAGTTCAGCGAAGAGTTCTCTTTTCGGAGGATTCATTTTCAAAGCTGTACAATCGCAAATATATATACTTATTTTTACAGGATGATAATAATACTGATAACAAACTTCTGTTAGACATGGTGACAATGAGGTTAAATAAACAAAGATATTAAATTTTTTATTAAAACAAGGATAATTAATTAATCCTTTGATTGTTAGTGGCTTAAGTATTCATCAAAAGGTAGGAAAATTATCATTGGGAAAGAATGGCTCAGCATGATAAGGTAAAATGTTGAAATTGAGACTAAATGTAATCAGAATGATCGTGGAAACATAATGAACCAGTTGGAGGTAGAGAATGGGAGGTGAAGCAGATGGCTGTAAAGGAGGAAGAGTGTGAAAATGAGAGAAAAAATTGTAAGACATTAAGACCATGGTGGAAGAATAGGTCGTACCAGTCTCTCATGCACACACAATCCTGCTTTTTCCAGATGTATGGCTAATGCTTCGGCAATGCAAAGAAGATGCAGTCTAATTGTCTTTGAAATACTCAGACTTACTTTGTAGATGACTTTGAACGCAGAGTCTGTCTTGATTGAGTAACCTGTGTTCATAAGGTGTTCGATTATTGAACTTTTTATTGAGCCGTTGCCTCCTCTTCCTAGCCACACCGGACAATGTTCTTGAATTCTTTTGGATAAAATACGCATCGAACGACCTATATATCTAGCTTCACATGAGCAGGTAAATTGGTAAATGTACATTGAGTTAGTCAGACGCGATAATTTATCTTTAAGATTATTAGTGAACAATGGTCGACTGAAGAATACTATTCGCAATGTTGCTGCGAAGAATGTTCTTTTTAAAGAATCATAAATTCTCCTCCTTAGGATGTATAAGGCTCTGTCACCCTTGAAGTTGATGTTCATGTATAAAGTTTTCTTTTCCAATGTAATTATTTGTGTTTTCGGAGTTCTCGGCCTCATGTTCTTATCAATGAATATCAAACGATAACCGTTTTTGATAAGTATCTCCCTCAAGAGGCCCAATTCTTCATCTATGACTTCGGGACTACAGATCCGTCGTATTCTTGTGGCGAGTGTCATTATTAAGTTTCTTTTTCTACTGATGGGAACCTAGCTGTGGAAACTTGATAGTTGGTCATTCCACATGGGTTTCCTGTAGATAGATCTTCTTAGAGTACCATCTTGCTTTCTTGTCATTTCCACATCAAGAAAGTAAATATTTTGTTTGTTGTCAGCTTATCATTTGTGACAACAAATCTTATTTGAGTCATCTCCTAAAGACGTTTAATAATTGCAACCCAGCAATAAAATTCACACTAGAAGTTGAAAACAAACAAAATATTCACTTTCTTGATGTGAAAATGACGGGAAAGCAAAATGGTACTCTGAGAAGACCTATCTACAAGAAACCCATGTGGAATGACCAACTATCAAGTTTCCACAGCTGGGTTCCCATCTTTTTTTATTTGACTTCACTATCACTATGTCTAACAGAAGTTTATTGTCAGTATTATTATCATCCTGTAAAAATAAGTATATGTATTTGCGATTGTACAGCTTTGAAAAGGAATTCGCCGAAAAGAGAACTCTTCGCTGAACTAATCTTTCTTATTTAATGTCTTAATGGGTGTATCCCGTTTATTATACAGGTTCGTTAGACCTTTAATACTTCACAAGTCAGCTATACAGAATGAAACGCAACTGAGTAAGCACGTTAAGTTGATTATTTCGAAAATAGGTGAAACTAAATTTAAGCTGTTGGAAAACTCATTTAATGCTCACATTAGAGATGGAATAGGTCTGTTCTTTAAAAGAGTAACCTAAGTTAAAATTTGCAAAAAATCTTAACTCTGCTTTACCTTTCTGAGTTTTAACCACCAGATCGTGTGGTGACCTAGTCTGGAAGAAAAACGGACACGCAAATCACCAAAAGATATGGTAATGAAAATAGAAATGGTAAAATAATATATTGTTGATGATAGTTATAATGTGAATTATATTTCTTACCTCAACCAAATTTACTCCACTGTCAAGAACTGATTGAATAAGTTGTATGGCCGAATCATGAGATATAGCATTTAAACTAGTTTTCGACCTGATTACAAAGAAAGACAATCTAAGTGACATAATTCAGTGCGACGTAAAACTATTTTGAAAATTTTATATGATGCATTAACAGCAGTTAAAAAAATATTGGCGAATGATTTTCGGCTTACTAGTTGCTGTATTACTATGGAAGATAGTTTATGAGCGCAGACGGTAAGTATAAGTGTTCTTGTTCTTTTTTCATCTAGTCAACTTCCTAGTGTTTTGTTGAAGTAATGTTGCAATTTCAGTTGATGTATATTTACACAAGGTTCTATGTTGCTGATGGCCGAACACATGGAAGGTAATGAACTTTTAAAAGTGATCTGTTTGCATTCACCAAACAATTTCTTCCCAGATCTTATTACTAAAATATTGAAAGACACATTACCTAGTGTTGAATCACAGATCGTCTTTTGTGAATCGCAATCAAGACAACCGACCTTTCGAACACGATTCAGACAAAATGAAACCAAATAGATAACCAGATAATACACTCACTTGTCTAGCATTTTCTCGGTAATGTATACAGGACTGATCACATGGACGACAGCTGATATCCAATCACATTTATTCAACATCTCTTTAAGAAGTTTGTCACGTTGATTTTCATTTAATGTCTTTGAATCTGAATTTCAGTGAAACAGAAAGGTGGAATAGAATCATTAAAATTCATACATACGCACGATACTAATCGGTGTTGATACATTAAATATGAATACTTACCAGCAAGTCCAATAGTTTTCAGTTCATTCAACCGACTTATTGGCGACAAGGCACATGCATAAACCATAGGGCCTATACATTAATAGAAAAAGAAAGTATTCAACTTTATTAAATATTACTTTCATAGCGAATGACTTAGGGATGAAATAATCCACTTACTTACCAAGGACTGGACCTCTCCCAGCCTCATCAATCCCAAGCATACATTGGTTTGACTTAGTAGATGTTGTCAAAAGATCCAACAAGTCAAATTTGTAGTTTTTCTTGCAGTTAAATGCTGCTTCAGACAAGCTTGTTTCATATCTAGCCACAGCTTTTGGTAAACTGCCAGATGCAGAATCATTACTATTCAGCAAAGGTTCATCACTAAATTCAGTGTCCGATGTCTCCTAAAATACAGACAGAAGACTGTTAGGAAAGCGAAAACAGAATTATAATGCAGATGCTAACACAGAAGCAACTGGCCTTAAAGGTTTCGAAAATATTGTTTCCAAATATAACATGGTAACCGAACTCAGGTCCCATAACTTATTTCATTCACATCTTAAGGCTGGTGACACTACACAGTTTTGCTCCATTGAAAGTGGAACGACAATTTGAACTCGAGATATAATAGTTGCAATTCTAATGTTTTTACTACCATGAGAGTCATCCAGTGATGAATGTATGTGATGGCTGTTGAACTACGATTTTAAACCAGTGAAGAATAAGTTTTTAAATTACTAATATAAAATTGTTACAAAGCACCAACTATTGTTTCTACTGAAACCCATTGTAGTGCGTTGTCTGCGACGTGCACTCCCGACTTAAGGGTCACCAAAGATGAACATAACGTAACGGATTTCCTGCATGTTTGTCTATCCCTTAGAATAGACTTGCAGCCATTTCTCCATAGGAGTAGGCAGGTTACCCAATAGATTATAGCCACGTAAAAATCTGGTACGCTACTTCTGAGACAAGAGCTTTCATGGCTACCTTACATTCCCAATAGTTCGAGAACAAATATGATTTTGAGCTAAATGATAATACTATGTAGACACCAGTCAATAAGACTATGTTATACTCCAGTACTTAGGACTGCTTTATTTATGCAGATATTGACAACTGGAAGACCGACATTGGTGATGGGGTAAAGTATGTACAGTTAGGAATTACTTAGCTTGAGAAACATAGCTTAACCGAAATCCTTGATCTAAATTTACAGGTCCGAGTTACATCACTACTAACAGTCCAGATGAAACTAAATGTAGAAAGGTAGTCTGAACAGAAAATGTAGATAATAAACTGGTAAAGTATTACAGAGGTGGTTAGAGATGCATAAACATATGCACAACCACCCCCTACCACGACGCGCGATGTTGGAGAAGTGGAGGGAAGGAAGTGGCTAACTTCATTATGGCTAAGAATAAGCCCACATTTTGCCACTGAGACGATGCATTCTGGCAGACTCGCCAAATATGTAACGGGTATATTATAACACGGTACAATACTAAATGTTAAAGTGAGAAAAGGAACTGTCTAGCACACAAGATTGTATGTGGAATTAGTGGAAATTATACAAGGGACAATACATACGAATGTTCACAGCATCTGATTTCTCTACACAGACAATGGGAGTCTATTAGCACGTAAAATACACTCTCAAGCTTAATTTCTTATTCTCCAATTTCCCGGATATGGGAGAAATTCTTATCACTTAAGTGATAAATTTTAAGGCTTCAATGGACATTTGTCATAAAAATGCGACTAAGAGCCCCAAAATTTTTCTAGTCTGAAGCTTTTCCCAAAATATTCAGATTATTTTGGTGAAACTTCTAAAACTTTCAGATTCAGATTTGTGTAAGGACAGAAGGCCTATAGCCTATTTATTCCTTTTCTAGTATGCTTCTGTGAGTGTCCAGTCTTCTCTTGAAAGAGTCAATTGAAGGTGCGGACACCACTGCTTCAGGCAGCAGGTTCCAAGTATTGATGACTCGGTGTGAAAACCTGTATGCCACAGGTATTTTGTTCGTTCTTGGCTTTTCTACTCGCCTGCTATGTCCTCTGAGGTGTCCCGATCTAGTGGGAAGAAAAGAGAGAATAAGTTAGGTCCGCTGCGATAGGACAGAGTAAAGAGGTTCAGTTTTTCAAGCCGATGGTTCTTAACATCCGAGCACTAAGGAAAAAACCGGGAATATATGATTCGAATATATAGCCATTTTATCGGCATAGCCCCTCATTCTAAAAAGTAGCGTTGATCTTATATCAATCACCGCGCACAAACTTAGTACGAATGAACGTTTCATATAGAACTGGTCGTCTGAAATTATAATCTTGGAAAGTCTAGGAACTAGATCGAATTTTTAACATCTGTAAATCCATGAGACGAACACTGACGTGAAAACACAGAAGAAAACTGAGCAAGATCTAAACACCACCGCGCATTCTTTCACAAGACATTAAACGCCTTAAAAGTCAGTCTTCAGTAATAAAGATAGGTGGTCTACCGACCTATATTAATCCTTGCAATTTGCAGCACTGTGGAGGTCCAATCTGGTTTTGGATATTTCAACAGAATGTGCTGATATTATGTGTTCCAGCAGATAATTCTATCAATTCACTACTCAGTGCGAAAACCGAAACTCCAGACGTAAACGATTTGCTCTAAGTTTTTTGAACTTTCTTCGAATGTCCTCTCAAATGATCAGTCCCAGATGGAAGTGAAAGATAAGACATGTTAATACCGAGGTTATCGTTCAGCATACGATAAGCCAATATTAGATCACCCCGTACTCTACGGTAAGATAACGGAAATAAGTTGAGATGTCTCAGTCTTTCTTCATAAGATAGTTCAGATAGACCTTGTACCATCTTAGTACCTCGTCGTTGGACTTTCCAGCATATCTGTCTCATACTTGAAACAAAGACTCGCTGCTTGAATCCCTTATTCTAAATGTGATTGCACATAAATCAGGTATGATAATCTAAACACTTCATCATCTAAATATTGGAAAGACCTACGAATAGACCATAGTACCCCATAGCCTATTGCAGCAGCAACCTTACAATGACTAGTGGTTTCGAGATCACTGCCTCATATGACTCCTAAATCTTTATAGCTCCTTACTTTGGGTAGCACGAATCCACATATTGTGTGGTGATGCGATTCATCATAGTTATTTAATTGCACCATCAGACTCTTACTAGGATTTACTTCTAGAGACCACCTGTCCAACCATGCCAGCAATGAGCTAAGATCATCCTGTATTACAACCCTATCTAGCGGGCATTATGTATTTGAAGCGCATAGGGTTGATCGCGTGCATGATTTTCACGGATTCATACATTTATTTGTTCTGTTGATGTTTGACGACCACCAGTGTGATTGCTAACAACATGAACCATTTATTTTTGTCTCTTTTAGTGTGAGCATTAGCTCAGATGCTTCTGTGTAAAACTTTCCGAAAACTACAAGTTCAGTAGTTCTATTGGTGAGTCTTTTATAGACGCTTTAAAAAGAAATATGGGTAAAAATGACAATATGCTTTTTCTGAGATTGATAATCTGCATATACCATCGTTCTGTTTGAGGCCAAATAGAAAATGTCAGATAGTTAGCGAGTTTGGAACTATAGCCGTCTTCCATTTATGTTCATAGTACCTTCTACACTGAGTTTAGTAATTTTTCTTCAATATTCAATTCTTTTGCCGGCGCAACACCATATGACGTACTTCTTTTTCGAGGAATACACTGGTTGACTAAGCTGTTACTTCTAATCGTATCATATTCAACAAACGATTCATGAACTGGTCGGATGTGATATAATTCTGTTTTACGAGAGCCTGCGATAGGGTCAGTAACAAATGTCAATAGTCTCGAATCCTCACATTTCCTGTAATGTCCGATAGTAAGAAGAGTCTCTCTTCCTCTTGAGACTCTCACGTAGTCACGCGTATAAAGACATTTCAAAGAAGGTCCTACTGACTGCCTACTCTCAGCGACAGTGTTGTTTACGAAATTGAGAAGACGGAACGAGAATATCCGACGCTTTAACCGGTTTGGTGAACATAGGTGATTCACGTAGAGTATTTGGAAATCGTGGATTTCAAACCGGTAATCCACATGGATCTGATGATCCTGATGAAAAAATAACTACGAACCTATTATCATTCTTCGGCTACCATGGGACTTAATCTCCTAATATTCGTCCACTGACATGTGGATCAGATCTATAAGTCGAACGCACCCACGCAGAATCCAAATGATGAGAACTGTTAGTAAAACTACTCAAGCTTTAATTCCTATTCACCGAAATCATACTCAGAACCATTTGATAATAATCGCTTTTCTTTTACGTTGAGTAATTTGTTTATTATTTTATTCCTATTTCATAGATTTCGTCATTCTTCAACTCCTTGAGCAGCTCGCCTATGATGTAAACCTTGAAAAATTACAGTTCGGATGCTATGAATGATGATTTTTACAACCAGTTAGGCGTTGTTCTATAAAGGCTGCATTCCAAGATATTGTAGTATTAGCCGGAGTCTTGAATGCTCAGGTCGGTCGTCTGGGCACAGAGTAGAGTAGTTTAGGTAGGTGGCTGATGGGGACTTGTTGGTCACTAGTCAAATAACGGCAGTGACCGTCAACTGGCGCTTTGCGCAGACGACAACCTGTTTCTGTCTGGCACTAACTATCGTCACAGTCATCACCTGATGTCTTCTTCTTGTATCTCAGGCCTGGATTCAGATTGATCATATCGCGATCAGCTGCCGCTTGCGTGATTGCCAATCCTTTTGGAGTACCTAGCTGAACTTCGATTATGTCCTAGTTTGAACCAATCTCACCTTACTTTTTAGTGGCCAACGTATTTATCGTTCTATATGGATCGATGTCAGCAAATCAATTGCAGTTTCTGTTGCAACTAAATGTAAAAGTGAGTTAGATTCAAGTTTGACTAGCTACCACTCCACTGAAAAGTATAGAGGAGGATTGCTGGCAATTGCATGACGAGATGAAAGTGACGAATAAAGTCGCTTGTGGCTGCCCGAAACGTTCAGTTATTAAGCGCTAGGTTTCTACAGGTCACTTTCAACTCATCGAGCTAAGTCGACCTACGCCGGGTACCGCAAATTTGTCCATAAACGAAGTTTGCCACGTATTGAAATTGTGCAAAGCTTGCGTAAGGACCGAGGGGACTGATAGTGCTAACGAGTTGGAAGAACCAATCGCATCTGGTAACTATCGGATACTCTTTCAGCTCATCCGCATCACCATCAGCAAGATGTCTGGTGTGAGTGAATTAATTTGTGAAGCTGAATGGATGTCAATCAGCAACATCTACCGACGTCTTGGACAACTGTCAGAGTTTTTTGAGGAACAGTTTAACTGATATGATGTCCCGACCACGTCGAATGGACTGTCCTACACTCCATGGTCTGTGGAAGCTGGTTCACCTTGAGAGGCGGAAGTCGACAAGACACTTAAACTCTTGAAGCCACACAAATCACCACTCTCAGGCGACTTACTTTTAGTCCTTTTTAAAAATGTTGGTTATTTTCTGGTTGAGAAACTGACTGAATTGTTCACGAAAATCTTGCAATTAGAAAGTATTCCATCTTCGTGGAGTAATTTGATACCTACCCATATCTATAAAAAGGGTACACGTCGTTTCTAAAACAACTGTCGGGAGACACGTCTACTTGAGTTTGCATCCAAACTATTGGCTTCCGTCATACTTCATAGGTTATTCAAAACGCAAGAAAGATTGACCCGCGTGGAGCAGGATGGTTTTCGTTCTGGTCGAACATATTTTGATCTTATGTTCACCCTCTGCAAAATGTTAGAACACTGTGATTACTGTACTGCGAAAATGTCTACCTCAAAATGTTTATTAACATCTTAGAAGTTATACACACAAACACCTCAGGTAGAGTGAGGGCATACAACCACTTCCTCCTTTTGTTCCATTCGAGCAGTGGGGTTAGGCAGGGTTGCCCAACCTCACCATTCCTCTTCAACTTTGCCATCGATGACATTCTGGAAACAGCTCTGATGGGTGTAAATAATGGTGGTGTGGGTCGGTTGACTGAAGAAAGACTTCTCGACCTTGAGTATGTGGATGAAATTGTCTTACTGTGCGATAATGCTCAAGACATGCAATCCGCAATTAATCAGTTGGCAATCAAGGTCCGTAGGTATGGTATGTGCTTTGCACCTTCGAAGTGCAGAGTACTTCTACAAGACTGGCAGGATCCTAATCCTGCACGCATTCTGGATGGTGAGCAGATAGACGTAGTCAAGAAGTTCGTGTATCTGGGTAGCTGCATAAGTGCTGCTGGTGGCGTGAATGATGAGATCAATACATGTATAGTGAAAGCTAGAGCGGCTTATGCCAATCTGGGCCACCTTTGGCGCCTTCGTGATGTTAGTCTGGCTGTAAAAGGTCGGATCTACAACGCGTCGGTGAAAGCAGTTTTGCTCTATGCTTGTAAACCTGGCCCCTCCGAGTTGAGGATGTTATACGACTCTCTGTTTGATCATTGTTGTCTCTGAATGACATCCAATGGCAACACCATGTCAGCAATGCAGAGGTTCGGCATCGTGTGTTCGGGCGCAAAGACGATAATTCAATTGATGTCACCATCTTAAAACATCGACTTCGGTGGCTTGGACATGTTTTTCGAATGTCGTCCCAGAGAATTCCACGTTGCGCATTATTTGCTGACCCTGGGACTGGTTGGAAGAAGCGGAGACGTGGTCAGTGTATGACATGGTGTTGGGGTATGTAAGAAGTCTGCAAATAGTTGTCTTGTGTTGGTCCTTCACGATCCATTGGTTGGAGTCTTAGAGATGGTGCAACACAATGGCTGGAGACGTTATAAAATATGGCTCAAGATAAATGTTTGTGACGATCCTCTCGTAATATTTTTTCGCCTTATTTGAAATATTTCTTTTTGATTGCACTTCTGACAAGTGAAATAACTCTTCGATCATTATAACCATTATTATCATCGGTTCGCTCTGATACACTTGTTTTTGTCCATTGTCGTTCTTCTTGTTTTACCCGCACTCCGTATTCTCTATCTGATTACAACCTAAATGTTATTGGCTGGCGCATGTGTATTTGATGTCCCTTTGTACCATTGCACATGTGTTTAAATAAAGAATTACTTATGGTCAGTCTATGTTAAATCCGTTTTTGTACTAGTAAACCATGCTCTGAAGACATTGAATAAGCGTTTCGCAGTTTTGGCATAAGAAGCTTCCATTTAATCGTTAGCGCTTTTATCCGACCACATTGAGAGAATGAAAATTTAGCGTTTCCTCCCTCCTCCCAAAATGGTATGAACATATTGGAACGTATATAAAGTGGAGCTACAACTTCTTCATGAAGAATCGAATATAAGATTGGTGAGGGGCTCCTAAAATCACTGGATTACAACGCAATAGATAGTAAGAGTCTCACAAATGAGCAAATGACTTGTAGCATACTAACACATCCCACCAGATACCTACTTAATCTCAATCTCAACACAAAACTTAGGTACAACACTCAGAAATTAAAGGTGCGACACAATAAACTGAACTGTGATCACATTTTTTACTCTTTATGATTGTTCAAATTCTGGAATTCGCTGTCGGCTGAGGTAGTCCAACTAACTCCCAAAGAATCCTTCAACAGGGAGCTTGATATATTCTCAAGGACTTATGACAGTGTTTCATTATAATTTGCTAGTAACCTAGCGGCACCAGTGACCCGCTGGTCCCAGGTGCTGTACACATTTGGGAGTTAGCCCCACAATCATTTGAAATATTTGGACTGTTTCGTGTCAGTGCCTAGAAAATCACAAAGATATATCAAATCAAATTAACTAAATGTAGATCCATAGAAAACCATGACATTATTTTAATCGTAGACATTTTTAAGACCAACTGTGGCTTGTAAATAGGCAACTTAATTCTATGGTGTAAAAGGTCATTTTGTTCTGTCATTTAAAGTGTAATTTACTTACGCATGTGCTAAATTTAAACATAAATTTTCTACCATAGCAACATGCCGATACCAAAGAAGCCAAAAGATGTATGTAATTACGATGTCACTTTTGAATATCCAGTTCTTCACGATACTAATCACTATATTTTGAGTCTATAGATTAGTGTGTGTATTCACATGAAATTCATCAACATACGAAGTATACAGTGCGTTTTACAAAAATATGTGTTGTCGTAAGACGTCTGTGCATCAGTTTTAATGTGTGCAACACAAAAAAGTACAAAGTTTTCATGGAACTAATGGTGAATCTTAATGACACCACATACTGTGGTAGAAGATAAATGTTACAGTTCGCTTTACCGATTTAGATTCACATGTTAAGGATAGACTGCCTGTCTTTGTATGACAA